TATATATATATATATATAATGTTTTTCTCTGCTCGCAGAAGCGCTGCAGGTGCATGTGAAATGATATGACCATGTCTATCCTCATACTGTTGTCTGCTACTTTTTGTGCATGTAAAATTAATCCCCGCAAAACAAATGTTAGCATTTTTAATGGGTCACAGACACTTATCCTTTCTAATTTAATTCAATTCTAATTTAAAATAACCTTGTCGGTTAACGGTTAATAATGGGTTAACGAGCGTCGGTTGTCAGTTAGGAAAAATAACCGAAATGAACATCCATAGTATCTATAAATTAGGGATGTCCTGAGCCGATCTCAAGGATCGGGATCGGGGCCAATCAAGCCTTTTTTAACTGATCGGTATCGGCTCTCCTAAGCCCGATCCTTATTTTATGTCAGCTGTCATGCCGGCGTCGTGCAGTACTCTCCTTCCAGTAGATTTGCCGTCATTTAAAGGAAAAGAAGATGCTCAAAGTATTCAGCCTCTATTAAAACCAAAAAAAGAAGAAATGTGTGTGTGATGCGTGAACCAGTGAGGTCTGTTCTAGCACCTCACACACGTTTGAGCTTCCGTGTTCAATGTATTTGATGCGCACTTTTGTAGTGATCTATCTGAGACGTTGTTGTTATAACTCGTTGCGTCTTGCTTCGGATTTGACTGAGAGACTGACAGAGCAAGCGTCATGCTTTCTAACCTTACCTCCACCTTTTTCTAATCATTTTGCAATTATTCTGCTAATTGTACATATAAAATACAGTAAGTTTACATCAGTAGTTCCATATTCCCAGATAGCACAGGTGCGTCTGCGAGACGTCTGGTAAAGATCTGGAAAGCATCTGCTGTGTACAAACATCTGATAGACGTCTCTAAGATGTCAGTTTTACATTATAAACATCTTCTAAACGTCTATTTGACATCTGATAGGAAACGTTCTGTAGATGTGTTGCAGATGAGCAAACACTAAAAAAATAGGTCTTGTAGACGTAATGCAGGCGTCAAATTGACGTATCTGAGATGTACGTGTGCTGTCAGGGTTCATTATTGTGATCACACAATCTGTTTACAATTTCTACCACTGTAACATGTTTACATCAACAAATGTCTTTATACAGTGTGTGTGTATATATATATATATACACACACACACACACACACATATACATATATATTACATTTACTCTCTGCTCAACTACATTGGATTGATTTTAATAACTTTAATGTACTTGAATTGTGCACCAAACACTATGAATATACAAGTGACTCTGATTGGATCGGCTTCACAAAAAAACCTGTTCAGTACGTCCCTATTGTAAACATTTTGGTTTTATTCTTTTCTAACAGGGTCAGTATAAATTTTACTGTCCAGCTATCACACATGGGACAGAAAAATGCAGTGCAGAGTGGCCATACTTGGAGGTCAGGAAACTGGCAGTGCTTAGTGATTCAGAGCAGGCTCATTTTGAAGAGAATATGGCTCTTCTGGTAGCAGCTGAGTACTGCGAGTTCAAATCAGTGAGTAGAAATAACATTTCAATAAATATGTCTTCTGGAACATGTGAATTCATTGACAGTTAATGAACTTTCTGGTATGTCTCTCTCTAAGTGTCCAAGCTGTGAGTCCTATGTTGAGCGAGAAGACCTGAGCAACCTGTGTGTGAAATGCACCATCTGCACAGCTGTGAAAAAGAAGAGCTTCCAGTTCTGCTGGCAGTGTCTGAGGGAATGGAAAGGACCAGCTGCTCATTCTCTACGCTGCAGTAATGAAGACTGTGTCCACCCAGATGTTGACAAGCTAGCAAAATGTACAAATATGAGGCTGTCTTATGTGAACAATGTAGAGTGTCCTGCCATTCGTGCCTGCCCAACCTGCGGTCTGCTTTTAGAACACAATGGGTTCGCTTGTAAAAACCTTATGTGTAAGCGCTGCAAGGTGGAGTTTTGCTTCCTTTGCCTAAAGCTGAAGCGTATTTGCAATCCGATCTGTGGACCTTATGATGTCTGTTCAGTTGCACCACGGCAGACTGAAATTCCAGTTTGGAAAAGATAATGTTAGAGATAGGATTAGGGATGTAACAACTCGCGATGCGATATGATTCACGATACTTGTTTCACGATACGATTTTCTCGTGATTTTTTTAACAAAATGAGACTTAAGACAAATTATAAATGAAAAAATGTCCTTTTATTATTTCTCAGACAAAAAAATCTCTCTGAAATCTCAAGCTAAGGCTTTGTCTGTGCTCTTTCTAGTGCAACCACTGCATTTTAATCACGATCCAAACAAAGATGCTGCATACATGCAACATGAGCAGTTTTTAATCTAAATTAGATCGTATTTTTTCGAAATTTGAAGCAAAAACAGAATGGTCTGACTATGTGAAACTATACTGAGAAGCTGCTCACTGCAGAGTAACTGGGTGGAGCTTACGTGAAGCCCACGTAAATGTGCCCAGATAGCACAGGTGCGTCTGCGAGACGTCTGGTAAAGATCTGGAAAGCATCTGCTGTGGACAAACATCTGATAGACGTCTCTAAGATGTCAGTTTTACATCATAAACAGGGATTGAAATTAACTTTTTCACTCACCAGCTAATTTGGCTACTAAATGTTTAAGTTACCGGCCATTCATAACTTCTACTAGCCAAAAAAAATTTGTAAAATACAATCAAACAAAAATTAAAAAGACAAAAATAAACCAACAGTTTGAGGCTGTCTACACTGGGCGTGACAAAGCGACCATTGCAAATAATTTTGTATCAGTGTGCGATATTGTCAAAAAATAATATCTCAATATTTTCTGTGATTTTATTGATAAAGATAATTAGTCGACATTGTGCTGAGTGTGTCATTGTGCTGATATCTTAAGGACTGCCGTGGACAGCTGACTCCTAAAGTTTTTTATATTCTTCATATTCTGTGTGCTGGTCAGTTCACAGCAGTGATAGAAATGAATCTTTTCCAATAAGTTTAAATTTGTACCTTTTATGGGCATTTTTACCTTTATAAAGCCCTTTTTTTTTTCTAAAAGTGTACATCATCTTTTGAGTCAAATTCTTACATTTAATCAGTCAATTATAATAATAAAACATTTAGGCTGTTACTAAACAAATTAAATCAGTATCAATAAAATTCATATTTGCATAAGTTGCATATGAAGTGGCATTTAGATGCATTTACACATGTTAATGCAGCTTAGAGGGACAAGAAATGCTTTAACCTGCGGTTACAAATGCATAAATAATGTTTTGGTATTTTAAACATGAAATGTTGAATACTGATATTTGAAATGATTTAAAAAATGAAAAGATACTTTAAATGTGAAATTAAAACCGCCAGCAGGTGGCAGCAAGTCACTGTTAAGAAGTGAGTCATTGCGATTGAACCGAATAATTTAAACGGTTGATTCATTCAGGAACGAATCACCGTCATGTTGCTCAGAGACACAACAGTACTGTGGCTGTGTTTGCAATGTTTTTTGTTGCCGAAATAGAGCAAAACAGGCAATATGGTGTCTAAAACGTAAGTCTCTTGATATTAACTCATTGTTTATTGAACTGTTGTATAAAATCAATATCACATTTGTATATCACAATATCACATTTCATATAAACTGATTTTTTTATAAAAAATGGCACTCTTCGTGTGATATTGATTAACTATATGAAATGATATAAATATATAAATTTTCTGCCCCCTTATCTTGAATTATGTGATCATTCTTAATGCATATTAATAGACTGAATCATGCAGTGAAAGAGCGCACTCTAAATGCATGCGCGCACTATAAGTTAGTCTAACCAGACTTCATCACGTCGCGTATGCTCGCCTCTGTAACGTTAGGTGTGTTTTGTTTGGTTTTTGCAATATACTCGATAATGTCATGATGTCTCACGAGTTCAGTATTTGCACTAAACCTGCGCAGATATGGCTTGCATGAACTTCCCCATCAAATTAATGAGTGAACATAACTTACGAAAAGTAACCCGCCAAATTGGCTAGTGATTTGACTGCGTTACCCGCCACAGCTGATTTTTATCTGCATTTGGTGGGTGTTAATTTCAAACCCTGATCATAAACATCTTAAAGACATCTTCTAAACGTCTATTTGACATCTGATAGGAAACGTCCTGCAGATGTCTTGCAGATGAGCAAACACTCTAAAAAATATGTCTTGCAGATGTTAATTCAGTGTCAAATAGATGTCTCTGAGATGTATGTGTGCTATCAGGGTAATTTTTGTCTAATGGGTGGAGCTAGAATATCCAACCCTACCCACAACTCTATCCCTCCACCCCATTAGACATCTAGAGAGGAGCTGGAAGTCATTTGACTCTGCAGTGAGTACCACCTGACAGCAGGTGGCGCTTATGGAACAGCAGATACAGCGTTTCCTTGGTTACCGCTGCAAACACAGCAGCTGCGCTAATAAACACAACTTTAGAGTCCCCATGAAATCAAAATTGAAGTTTTTTGTTTTTTAGTATGAATATGTTAGCTTTAAGGTTATCTGTACGCTGGTGTGCTCCAAAACAATGACAAAATTTGCATTTAGTAGATATAAGCATTCAAAACCTACAGTCTCTCACTTCCGGTGTTATGGATCATCTGGGGATCGCTATGGTTTCTGAGGCGCTGTTCAGTGTTCATTGTTATTGTGATTGTTCAGAAGGGCTTACATTTGCTAGCTCTACGTACCTTTGTTAATCACAACTTTTCATAATTATATCTTTAAAACACTGAGTAATTTTACAATCTGACATACAAATTAGTATGCATTTGTATGTATTTAACTTAGGAAAGCAGCTGGCATTTTTAAGCCATATGACATTCACTTCTAGCTAAAAGATGAATAAATATTTAATAATAATGTGCTATGACTGATAAACAGAGGTTTAGCGTTAAAGTAAAACATCCAGGCCGAAAGTAGGAGGAAGAGAAAGAAAGAATAGCCAAGTAAGCTCAAATAAAAAATTTAATTTAAAATCAAAACCAAAATGTGCTTTATTATCTAATAAATGTCACGTGTTTGTGGTGTTAATGAACAAATGTTGCTAAACTGCAAACTAACTCTCTCAGCACTGCACCGGAAACTCTTCACGAAACCTGACGTGCATGTTCAATTTAATACTTCATGTTATTTACATTTACATGTAGTTATTTTCTTTTAAATATATTTGACTCATTTTAAAGTATTTTAGTATTTAATGTAATTTCCACTTAAATGTAATTCTGTTTAGATTATGATATTTACATTTTTATTTACAGTGAAAACACATTTGAAATATATGAAAAGCACAGTTTAAAAGTATTTTGTTACGTAAAATATTTGGTTCATATCTATGTAAATATATTAATTTTAATGAGAGCAGTGTGAAAACTTGCCATTTATATATATATATTACATAATTTTAAGCATTTTAATATTTAACATAATTTTAATTTTAATATATATATATAGTTCATTTATGACACACACACACACACTCTCTCTCACACGAGAAAGTCAACCAGGTGAATGCCACCCTGATGATCGAGACTGGGGGACTATTAAGCAGGGCTTTTTTTCAGCAGGGCTGTTTCACTAAGCATAGAAGAAACACTTCATTGTACAATGTGTAGCTGTTGCTAAGTAACATAAAGCTCTAAACTGCTAGACAAGGGTTTTGAGCGCTTGAGCTAGTTAAGATTTTACATGAAACAGTTGTTTGAAGTGTTGATGACTTTTTTATCAGGTTGCCATGGCAACAGCCCAGATCCTGTTCCATGGCTTCTTCTACTGCAAATCGTTTGTGAGACACTAACACTTTATTTCACTAGTCCATTTTTTGATGTTCTGCTAACTGTAACTGTGTCAACTTATTCTGCTAACCCTAACCATATCCTAACAGTCTACTAGTGCTCTAATAAGATTTAGTTTACATGTAGTTGCTTACAGTTAGCAGAATGTCTAAAGTGGACGTCTCTAAACTAGCCGTCTTTCTCTCGCGGATGACCTCATGACCTTCAACCCTGTCTCAGACGGTGGTCATGGTGTGTCTTCAGCTGGCATCTAAGATCGAAGAGGAGCCGCGGCGAGTGAGGGACGTGCTGAACGTCTTCCACCACCTCAAACACGGGAAGCAGGTAACCTAACTTTAGGTCAGAAATGTTTTATGCATAAATATTTATGCAAGGATACAAATTCTTAAGTAATGCATTGTGTGTTTGCAAGCCACACCCTCTACAGCTTGCATTTTAGGCCAGAAATTGGAGATTTTTTAGATTTATATGCAGATTCTTAACCGAAGCATTTTATTTACACATAACCTGCATTTTACGCCAATAATGTACTTTTTACACAAGTACGCCAATTCCTTGCTAATGCATCACAAGCTTGTGTGCTACGGTTAGACTGATGCATTTCTTACATGCATATGCGCACAAAGTCCCACAGACACCGACAGAGGGAGCAGGAATGAGCGCGGAAAAAGGCATATTCATCTCACAGGAGATTATGTCATCGGGTGGGGGAGGGGCCCCAAAACTGACCAATCAGCTGGTCAGTTTTCAAACGTTGCGTCGGGTCGCCCCGCCCATCACGGACCCCCCAAATCCCTCATATTCGGGTTGTGCCTCATCGGGAGTCTCAATCTCAATCCCAGCGTTTGTTTTCTCCAAGAACGGAGACGAAAACCCCACCGAGGTCAGTCTTTCTCTTTATTAATCTATCAGTGTGCATAGACTACTATTTAACTTGTGTTTACCTCTCGCCCAGTCGCTGATGTTGGTGAGCAGCACCACTCGGCCCCTGCTTGGCTGCATCTGGGACTTTTCGTCAGTCTACAGCGGCCTGGCCTTCGCCACCTCCTCCATGGTGATCCACGAATCCCATCCCATCTGCCTGATGAGTGTCACCAACCACTCCATGCTCACGGACAAACATGAAGAGCCGCCAATGACGGGCGGCTAAGATGAGCTCCATGTTCCTAGAGCAGTACCGACCAAACTCTAAGTATTCAACTGAAGACCTGGTGTGTGACATCTGCATCCTTGAAGACCCCACAAAATGGTTTGGCAAGCAGTTTTCTGTGCATTTTCCTGTGTTGATGCACATTGAAAATTGGATACGCCCCCAAGTGCAAGATGATGTCATCAATGTTTTTGGTTTGTTTTCCCAACAGAGAAACAGTATAATTTTAATCTCTACTAAAAGGTTCATTTTCATTGGGACACTAGCATGGTGATGACCTCAATGTTACAGACATGATCAATTTGGATTTGGATTTCTCTCAAATCTAGTGTACAGATCCAACCGGTTGATAGGGACCAACAAGAGCTACTAAGCAGTACAGTGCCAGACCCAAACCTTAATTATACTGTGATGATGAACTAATGATCTTCATGGATCCTCTATTGTGGCCGTAATCCTCTGGGAACAGATGCACTGGCTGTGAGCAAGTCGCTTCATGTTTTTGGTTCTCCATGGTGAACATATTTAGACAGGCTTTGAACCCTGTCTTGTTTTTAGGCAGATGAATATAACTTTTAAAACAGTCCAGCACAAACGTTACTGCCGCTCATCAACGGCAACATCAAGAACGATCCTCTGTAGGCTAGCCCATCCCATTTAACAATGCTCGGTCTGACATTCGCGGCCTTCGAAGGATGCAGCCTTTGAATTGGGACACAGCTAGTATCAGAGAATAAAAGGACGAGTGATAGTAGAACATCTCTGTGTGTTTTCTCAGGTGATCCTCTGAATAGCCTCTTTATTTTGTCTTGCGGCACCAGTGTCACCTCTGTCAACTACTTCAACTACAACCGCTGATCTTCCACCTCTTCCACGGCGTACCTGCTCATCGTCGCTCTCATCGCTAGCATCGCCTTCATCGCGCTGTCGCCCATCGTCCTCGCAGTGGGCCGCAGGAAGCTCAGAGCGTTTATGAACTCAGTTCTGTCGAGTATAATCTGACAGACAGACCTCTCGCTCTATATGGACAGACAAACTACAGATATCAGAGACATGTCATATTATTTTCTGCATCATAATAGTGTGTTTCGGTGTGTCGCATTATTTATTTTTTTATAAAGTGGCATGTATTTACTCAAGAACGAAGAATCCCAATCCCAATCAAAGCTGAGAATCCCGATTCCTGAATTTAAATTCAATTTGAATTGACAAACCAAATATGATGCATTAAACTGAATGAACCCTGTTGAAAAAACCAGCATATGCTGGTTAGGTATGTTTTGACACTGGGATGCTGGTTTATGCTGGTCCTTTGCTGGTTATGCTTAAACTGGTATTTTGCTGGTTTAAGCTGGTCCTTTGCTGGTTATGCTTAAACTGGTCTTTTGCTGGTTTAAGCTGGTCCTTTGCTGGTTTATACTGGTCCTTTGCTGGTTTATACTGGTCCTTTGCTGGTTTATACTGGTCCTTTGCTGGTTTATACTGGTCCTTTGCTGGTTTATACTGGTCCTTTGCTGGTTTATACTGGTCCTTTGCTGGTTTATACTGGTCCTTTGCTGGTTTATACTGGTCCTTTGCTGGTTTATACTGGTCCTTTGCTGGTTTATGCTGGTCCTTTGCCAGCACATGACCAGCATAAACCAGCAAAGGACCAGCTTAAACCAGCATCCCAGCGTCAAAACATATCTAACCAGCATATGCTGTTTTTTTCAACAGGGAAATAGAATGATTTAATGCATATCAAATCATATAACTGCTGTAAGAGCATCTGCTTTCTCGGTGCCAACCTGAATGAAATTGAAGTATCAGTAAGGGTTAGTTTGAGTAATTTCATTTGTCCTGAGAAGAAACGTCCTGAACTGAAGGTTTGTAAACTTGTGTTTTCTGTTTTTACTTTGCAAACGTGAATATTAGCAAGTTTATAGTCACGTAAAATCATGTTTGCCTGTTTATGCCACATAATGGTTATCCTTCCACAGATTCCAGCGCCCTGAGCTGTTGCTCCTTTCCTCCTAGAATGGTTTTAAATGTTTGTTTGTTTGTTTTCCGCCTTATACTGAGCTATCATTTGGGTTAAATGTGTCACCCAGACTGCTGGGTTAACTGTGCAGCCCGATTGTTATGATAGATGAACCCTTTCCTGAATTTATCCACCAGATTGGCTGTATTTTTGCTTCTAACCCAGCATTTATTACAGAGCATAGTCTTTAAAATGGTGCCAAACAACACGAAGCAAACGAGATTGATTCCTTGAAAAGAAATACGTAAGAAGTTCTCTTCTTGTACATTGTGTTAAGGAAATGTCTCTGTTTCTGCGTCAGTCAGATGTGTGTTGTATTGAGTTGTGTTTTTATCTCTGCTCACACCTGAGGCTCTGATGTGTTTCTACCGCCACCTAGCGACCATTAAACAACACTGAACCACAGCACAGGACTGATTTAACTCGTAATCCATAACCAGATTTAAGGAAAACAAAATACTATGGAAGTCAGTGGCAACCACCAACTGTTTGATTACCAGCAATCTTCAAAATATCTTCTTTTGTGTTCAACATAAGAAAGCAACTCATACAGGTTTGGAACGACATGAGGGTGAGTAAATGATGACAGAATTTTCATTTTTGGGTGAACTATCCCTTTAAGCTTATGGGGCTGTCACGTGACGAACAAACGACTGGAAACAGGTGAACTACTTGATTAGTTCCAGTACAGAACCTATAGGATGTTGCGCATGCGCGACTGAACGAATCACTCCCCGAGACGACTCGTTCTTCCCGAGTCACATTCAAGATTCGTTCGAGAACGACCCGACACTAGAACTCAGGATCAGAAACTAGTCTTGAATCCACTGAAACCGCTGCGCTGCTCCTGAGATGCACTTTCACGACACTACTTACACACCAGCTGTGTTCGGAATGCAATACTAACCTACTGTTTAGTGGATCTCTTACTTTTGAGAAATAGAAAAGTAGGCATTATTCTGAAAGAGTGTGCTGCTTTGTCACATGACCTTATCATGTTGCACGTGAGAGGCATCCAGATTCTTAAAAAGACTGTTTGCATGTTTTAGCACAATTAAAAATGTTGGCAATCAAATAATGAGTCGAGTAAGACTGTCTAGTTCATTCGTCACAGGTCGGAGACATTGCATTGTGGGATACAGTACACTGCAGAGATAGTAGAAATAATATGACAAACATAGCCAGACACACAAACAAGCTTTTTTCCTGTGTTTATGTGCGTTTTCATCTATAGTCTCGTTTAATAATCCCATTTACCAAAAAACTGTGCACTCATTGATATTTAGACTGATAGCTATATAAATATTTGTTTTAGAAATGCAAAATAACTGCATATGATGACTTTGTGTAAGGTAAAATGATTTACGTGTATTCGAGGGATGCTGTAGTTTTGTACTCAAACCCAATCATTTACAGTATGCCTCATCTTTTCTAATTCTGAGTTAGTGATATTCACCAAAATAAGGACCCAGTGACAGTCTTTTGAATACTGTGCTCTGTAATACAAACCTTTTGTGTCAATAAACGAGGGTGAATTTAATAAACTGGCTTGTTTAGTTTTATTATTTTTGTTGTCTTAAAAGGAACTTATAAACAGATTGAACTCTCTAAAGGAAGGATGTACCTGATGTGTTATTCGTCATTCTGATTCGCGGGGTTTGCTGAGGCCTCAGCGGAAGCCCCGCCCACTGTCCCTCCCCCCATTGTGACGCGTCACTGACAGCTGCGCAGCGCAGCCGCCATTTTCTTCCCATCCGCGGATCCGAGTAGAAGCGCTGAACCGAGCTCTCGTGCCGAACCGATCTCTCAAACCCGCTGCACTCTCCCCGGGCTTTAGATAGCGATGCCGGCCCATCCGCTGCGTGTCGCGGTCGTGTGCTCCAGCAACCAGAACCGCAGCATGGAAGCGCACAACATCCTGAGGTAACGACGAGAAAGAACGAGCCGAAACCGAGCCCGACACCGCCGCGCCGTTGTTTTTCCTTCGTTCCGCATCCTCAGCGTTCGATCGGTGTCCAGATGGTCCAAACGCGGATCGGAATCGAACCGGGACAGTCAGATCACGAGAACCGAACCGAACCGAGCCGGAGTCATTTAGAGAAAACGACTTTATGCTTTTTGTACAGAAACAAACAAATTGAAGCTGATGGAGATCGCCTAAAAGCTTGAGCTGAAAAATAGAGAAAGTTCTGGAATAAAGTAGTCAGACTTAGATTTTATTTTATAATACAGAGGTAACGATGGTTATAGAAACGCACTGCAGTACCACGGTACTGAATCATTAGCATATTAGTTTACTATGGTATTCACATGGTACTTCATAAAATACTAGTACATACCAAAATTATGGAACCTCTTTATAAGCCAGATAAAATGAGTAGAAGTGATATAGTAAAAAATGTAGACTTTAGTCAGGGAAGCGCCATATTTAATTTTTGACCGGAATGAAAACGAGGCTGTGAGGGACTGAAGTACATGGACTGATCAAACGTGTTTTTAAAAGTCGTGAGATGATAATTACGCAATCACAGCCCTGACAGCACACGCACATCTCCGAGACGTCTGCAAGAGTGTTTGCTCGTCTGCTATACATCTACAGGACGCTTCCTATCAGATGTCTTTAAGATGTTTATGATGTAAAACTGACATCTTAGAGACGTCTGTCAGATGTTTGTACACAGCAGATGACGTGATCTTTTTAAACGGTGCGTTTGTCCCTCACAGCCTCGTTTTCATCCGTTCGTTACCGACTAAGGTCTGCGTATCTAGGTCAGGTAAGTCGACGCAGGTCGAGAGGGATTTCTCTTCACGTCTGTTCTGTCCTCATGTGTTTGCTGTTCTGATGTCTTGTGGATTCTCACCGTCTCTCTGTTACTCCCACAGCAAGCGAGGGTTTGATGTGCGTTCCTTCGGCACGGGAACCCACGTGAAACTCCCAGGACCCGCTCCGGACAAACCCAACATTTACGACTTCAAAACCACTTACGAGCAGATGTACAACGACCTGGTCCGTAAAGACAAGGAGCTGTATCCCTAGCTTATACACACAGAAATACATCTGCTAGAGCCCCAGAATCAAACGAGACCCCTGATCGATTAGACGACTGAATGAACACTGAGCAAACGCAGAAGCTCTCTGAGAAAGGAAGGTTCTTTATTGGCATCGATGGTTCCATGAAGAACCTTGAACATCCACAGAGACTCTTTTGTACGAAAGGTTCTTTAGATTTTTAAAAGAATGGTAATTGGTTACTTTAAGAACGCTTCATCGAAAGGTTCTTTGAGGAACCCAAAATGGTTGTTTTACGGCCAAACCATTTTTGAAACCTTTATTTTTAAGTGTGATTATCGTAGGGACTGCAACATAACGCATGGTTTAAATCGCAGGGGGTTCAACATGAGCCTCGCTGTTTTAGTGAAGATTACGGTTGCAAAACGGTGTAAAATTTCCAGTAAATTTCGGAAATATTCCAGAAATTTTGGAAACTTTCCAGGATTTTTTTGGAATATTCCAGGGATTTTTGGAAAGTAAATGAATTTTCCACCCCTTTGCAACCCTACTGAAGATAAGCAACTGCAGCGACCCGTCTTTTTTCTTCTGAACTCTATGGAGTGTGTTCCTCACATTAAAGGGATAGTTCACCCAAATATGATGGTTCTGCCATTATCTGCTCTCCTCGTGTCGTTCCAAACCTGTGTTCGTTCTTCTGTGGAACACGACGGAAGATACTTCCCGGTGATCTTCAGAATATCTGCTGTTGTGTTTCACCGGCGAAAGAAAGTCAGGTTTGGAACGAGTAAATAACGACAGATTTATAAGTCACCTGATGACACTCTGATCTGCTGCATTTATTGTGCAAGAAGAAAAAAGCCTAAATTCATTGGCAAAGAGACGAGCATGGGCAGTGTGTGCTGAGGTTTATTATGCCCGTTTGGATGCGGTTGTCCAGACTGATTCATTGAGTTCACAGGAAAGCAGGTCACAGATTGATTCCTCTAATGCGTCACACACGACTCATTCATCAGACCTGCGGGATTCCCATTAGCCACAGCATTTAACCCATTCATGTTCGACCAGATCAAACCATAAGCATTCGTATAAAGTAGATGTAGGTTTCGATGGCAACCCCGTCACCTGTAGAAGTCTATGGCAGGAAGGGTTTAGCTTTAGTGTGTCAGAAGAGGTTCAGTTAATCTCAGTTCTCCAGAGGATCAGAGGCAGAATAAGTGAGGACCCTTGTGGTTTATATGTGGTAACGGTTTTAAGTCAAGCATAACTAGTGCTAGTGCTCATTTAGGGTAATAGTGATTGAATCCGTTAGCATTAGTGCTTGTGCTCCGGACATGAATGATTCCTCGGATCACGCGTCTCGTGATTAGACCGCAAAAATCCTGTTCTTAGTGAATTCAGATAGTTTATTTTATTTTAGCAAGCAACATTTCTTGAGCATTTAACCTCACAGATTGTGTTTTGTCAACCCGATCTCATGAAAGTGCGTATAAATAGTACGCCAAATAAAAACAAAAACTTGTGGTATTGATATGCAAAAATGGACTTTGGCGTGCATATGCTACGCGATGGGTAAGTTTAGGGTTGTGGGGTAGATGCATATATGTATGCGAAAACTGCGTATTATATGCAAGCCAAAAACATGCGTATCATATGCACGCCAAAGTCCATTTTTGCATATCAATACCACAAGTTTTTGTTTTTATTTGGCGTACTATTTATACGCATTTTCATGAGACCGGGCTCGTTCTGTACAGGTGTGTTTAGTCGTATTGGCTTATTTTGACCAGGAGAGTCGTATCTTTTTCCTGAGAATGCTAGGTAATGTTCTCACGTCGCACTAGAACTGACTGACTTTGCTCACTCGGGGTGTAAAAACCTCACAAAAGAGTTGTCGCACTTTCTTGGGGATTTCTTTCCCACTTTGTTACTCTTGTGTTCTCCTTCAAAAATGATCGGCGTCGGCTCCGATGGCCTCGTGGGCAGCGTGCTGACATGTAGCGCCTTTGCGCTTCGGGCGTCCCGAGTTCGAGTCCCGGCTCGTGGACCTTTCCCGATCCCACCCCCCTCTATCTCTCACCCACTTCGCTTCCTGTCGACCAACTGTCCTATCTAAATAAAAGGCATAAAATGCCACAAAAAAAAAAAATGATCGGCGTACGTAATTATGCTGTATCATCACCAAATATTTCATTCAATCAGATTAGTTGGCACAAGTTTTATGGGGTTTATTGGAGCTGATTGATCATAGGCCTTGAGTGAAAAGCATTATTTGTGGATAATTTTGTCGATATTCAACAGAAACGATCAGTCCGCTCCAAAAAGAAACACAAAACCTGTGCTGATTGAAAGAAAAAAGCTGACAGAAAGATTGAAAATCCGGTGATAATACAGCATGATGAGAGAGATCCAGTCGATGAAAACCAGTCTGACGCGGTGTTGCTTCTCAAGTACATTTGTCTTGTTTTAAAGATTTTTTTAGATATTTTTAACGAGACAAAAACCTTTTGCTTTTAGTCATTCACCTGGTGAATGATAGAACGTGAAAAAAATACAGATTTTCATGTTAACTTTGTTAAATTTAATAAACCATACTTGCAAAAATAAGTATAAAACTGGATTTGCAGTGATATGACGGGAAGGCAATGAAAAAATCAACACTCGTGTTCAAATCTGAAGCTTTTGATGGATAAAGTCCCTCATAAACAACCGTACCGCGTCTGATTTACAGGAGGCTTTAGAGCAGCAGTGCAAAGAAAAGCAGAAACTGTTTTTTGTTAGTTAGATGTTCGCTGGTTTGTTTATACTGCTGATGATGAATGTTTCCATATTGGCCAGACTCTGCAGTGTTTAATTCGCTGAATTAGTTCAGTTGATCCTAGTGAGTATAGTTAGTAATGTGTAAGGACATCAGAAGTGACTTCCAGAGGCTGGCCAATAGATGGCGCTAGTGTACGTGTTTCCAGTGTTTTAACCCTTTGTAGACACACAGTTTGATGTGTTCTGGAGTGTTTGGTCCTTTGGTCAGTGTTTTGTGTTCCTTGACCGCTCTGCTCCTCAGATACACACAGAACGGGATCTTGCACATGTTAGACCGCAACAAGCGCATTAAGACGCGGCCCGAGCGCTTCCAGAGCTGCAAAGAGCAGTTTGACCTGGTGATCACGTGTGAGGAGCGTGTGTACGACCAGGTGCTGGAGGGTGAGGAGTGTGTGTGTGTGAGAGAGGCTGACCAATAGATGGCGTGAGTGTGTGTGTGTGTGCGCGTGTGAGAGTGTGTGCGCGTGTGAGAGTGTGCGAGAGTGAGACTGTGTGTGAGAGTGAGAGTGTGTGTGAGAGTGAGTGTGTGTGTGTGAGAGAGGCTGACCAATAGATGGCGTGTGTGTGTGTGTGTGAGAGAGAGTGTGTGTGTGTGAGAGAGGCTGACCAATAGATGGCGTGAGTGTGTGTGTGTGGAGCTCCAGAGTAACCCGTGTGTCTCTTTCAGACCTGAACTCTCGCGAGCAGGAGACCTTTCAGCCCGTGCACGTCATCAACGTGGACATCCAGGACAACCACGAGGAGGCCACGCTGGGGGCCTTCCTCATCTGTGAGCTCTGCCAGTGTGTGAGTACAGACCCCAACACCTGGAGTTACTCATACCAGTTTAATAAAATCATTCTGGACGAATTCATTGTGCTCATGTTTCATGCATTCTGTTCAAAAAAAACGTCCCCCCCCAGGGTTATTATAGTTAACTACACTTCAAAAAAAATAAAACCATCAAAAATTGTTACTTGAAATAATATAAACCTTACCTGAAATGAAATAAAATTGGTTTATATTTTGGTTATATATATAGTTTTTAACTTATTTAATATCAGCTAGTTGCCAAAGCAACATTTCTCATTTTCAAAAACAAAAAACTATACCAACATATATATAATGTAATATAAACATAAATATATAAAAATGACAAAATTACATAAGGTTTACATAATATTGTCATTTTAATGTTTTTTTTTTTTAAATATGCTTAGTTTATTACAAAATTTCAATCTTTTTATTTTTGTTTTCATTGTAATTTTAATTAAAATAAATAAAATACAATTTTCAGTGTTTCATATCTTACATAAAATGTTAAAAATAAAACGAAAATATCGAGGAAAAAAAAACTAATACTATATCAGTGATACTAAAATAACATAATAAAATAAACGTGCGGAAATTGTCGTTAAAACCGTTCTGATGTTACTTTACACAAAAATGGTTTTATCAACAATTTACACATTTTATGTTTGTAATTTTTATAGCACAAAATGTATGTAAGAATGCTTTTATGAGTAATAAAAGAGCCCCACTCGAATAACTATTCTTAGATATTCTCATTAAATGCATTACTTTACATAAAGGTTTTACGAACATATTACATCCGTGTGTTTCCTGAACATTAATGAATCCGTTCTTGTGTAAATGATCATCTTACATAATCTTTCAAAATTCAGAAGAAACTCAATAACTCAGCTTCTTACATAAAAGTGGCAGTTTAGCATCAGAAGTGTTTTTGACGAGTGGTTTGCTGCGTCTCAGATTCAGCACACGGACGACATGGAGAACGAGATGGACGAGCTCCTGCAGGAGTTTGAGGAGAAGAGCCACCGGCCGTTCCTGCACACCGTCTGCTTCTACTGACCGCCGTTGCCATGGCAGCAGCGTAACGGCACGACCGCCGCTCATTCACACGCAGAAACTCTGACGCGACGCGAGCTGCTCAGGACTGTAACCCTGCCGCGGCTCCACTCCGACTCAACGCAAGTCCTGAGGTTCTGGTTTTGATGAGCTTTCGAATGCTGATTCCTGCTGTATCCCTGATGGAAAAAAACAGCATATGCTGGTTAGGTATGTTTTGAAGCTGGTTTAAGCTGGTCCTTTTGCTGGTTTAAGCTGGTCCTTTTGCTGGTTTATGCTGGTCATGTGCTGGTTTATGCTGGTCATGTGCTGGTTTATGCTGGTCATGTGCTGGTTTATGCTGGTCATGTGCTGGTTTATGCTGGTCATGTGCTGGTTTATGCTGGTCATGTGCTGGTTTATGCTGGTCATGTGCTGGTTTATGCTGGTCATGTGCTGGTTTATGCTGGTCATGTGCTGGCAAAGGACCAGCATAAACCAGCAAAGGACCAGCTTAAATCAGCATCCCAGCATCAAAACATACCTAACCAGCATATGCTGGTTTTCAACAGGGAATGCAACTGAGGAACATTCAGAGAGACGAAACGGTTCTAGAGTAAAACTAGCGCTGTCGCGAGAGCCTGGTCTGAGCGTTTAGGACCTGCGATGAAGCCCTACAGTTATTAGTGAGGGTTCTCCTGCAGCTGGACACTGACTTCATCTGATCACGTGCTTAAAAAGGGGTTTGATTTCGATGATGTAATGTTTCATGACTCTTTTGGTTTCCTCATGAATTGATTTCGTCATTATTTAAACATGGGATTTGATACCTGTTGAGCATATTTTGTGTTGTTTTGTTTTTCTTTAATTTTGTAAATGAAAAGAAGATTCTGTAACTGTACATGAAGCAGCCCAGAGTGCCTGAGATTATATTCTTGTGTATATATTGCGCTATAAATGAATGAATGAAATGAATAAAGCGTTGATGAATCTCAAGGGATGCGTTTTTCCTTCTTAAACGACACGGCGGTGTCAAATTTACTCTAAAGATCCCCTTACGAGAATTAACCATGGTTTTACTCCAAATAAAACATGCACTTAAATCACGGTATTTGTAGTGAAACTGTGGTTATATCAATACGCCAAAAAAAAAACATGGTTACTATACTTTTACTGTAGTAACGCCATGGTTAATTTTCGTAAGGGACGGTAAAAACGAGAACGGTAATGTTTGAATAATCTTAATAGCGAGCTGTTACCATGACAATGACATTGTTGGAATATTCAGGACGATTTTTCCAAGTGATGAACGATAAATCCCTGACAGCCAATCAGAATCGATCCTGCTTTAAAGCGCGCGAACATTAATGCGGAGCGTTATCTTGCGTTGGTGTGAACACTCATTACACTTATCTCTATAATAATGTAAACGGCACTTTAAAAGAATAGCGGCGTCCAGTATTATAGCGAAATGTCGTTGGAAACGATTTGTTTCCAGCTGATGAACGATAGAGATGCTGGCAACCAATCAGAATCCACTCAAATTAAAGCGACACGACAAAAAAAAACAAAAACTGCGCGCTCTTAGAATAACCGCTATTTAGTTATAATTATCGTTTTTGGTGTGAAGGAGTCTGAACTGTCCAGAAACCACTGTAGCACAATGTTACATTACAAAACGAAAAGAAAAGGCAAACACATGCGATGCCGCGATGTAGGCTAAAGCATGGTATTACCGTGGTAACGTTACTTCTGTAGGTGTGCCGCGTGCGTCTGACATTCCAGCTGAGCGTGACGCAGGAGCTCCTCATTAAGCTAATGCACTGATCTGAGATCTGATACAGTCAACCTCCAGCAGCGTCAGATCACTTACAGACGCGGAAACAAACACCTGCTGGAAGCGAGCGAGGCGTTCGACGCGCCGTCGTGATGTAGCAACGCGCCGCGGAGGAACATCGAGCCGCAGGTGAGACATCTGATGCTCCGCCGATGATGAAGATGATGAAGGGTTGCGCTGATCTGCGGACTGTGGCGAAGACGCGGCTCTACTGATGGCGGTGTTTGTGGTGTCTGGAGCGGTTCTGGTGCTGGTAAGAAGATCTGTGTGAGCATCTGCTGAGGAACTACGCAGCTCTCACACTGACCGCAGCTGAACTTTATTCATTATTGTGTGGTTTTCTGTGGACAAGCATGCTGAAATGCAGTTTTAAACGCTGATCGCTGGGAAATGGCAGTAGTTTTGGTGTTTTCCAGGCCATCGTGTGTATGTCCGACATGAATGCGCTGCTGGACCGATTTCACAACTTCATCCTGCCGCGCATGCGCGGACCGGAGCGCGTGTGTCACTGCACCTGCGGCAGGTAAGGCGCGCTTTCATTCCTATTGGCTCGTCCTGAAAAACACGCGCGGTGATACAAAGTATCATTTAAATTCCGAATCTCCGATTGCTTGACAAAATGCTACATAGCGTTAAATTGGCTATTTTCTGTAACCGCACAGATGTTAACTAGTTAAGAACCGTACCGAACTTATTTGCGACGCGATTTTCGGTGTATGTTCATTAGCCGCTATATTCGTAAATATTACATTATTCGTAAATAAGTAGAAGAATAACAAAGTGCAGTAGCGTATCGTGCAGTAACAATCCCGTGTGTTTATAATAAAATAATATACTGTAGCCTATGCTAGTTTGCGATATCAAGCAGCGATTGTTTTTGTACCGCGGAAATAACTGGAAAAGAATGCAAAATAAAAATTAAAAAAAATATTAAAATTCTGTCCACAGTGTATGTAAAATATAGGCCTATGCTAAATATATTTTTGAATATTCCGCCTTCATATACGAAAATATTTCAAAATGTATTATTAAATATATTCATAATACAGCCTAGATTTAGATGTGTGATGCGCTATAGACAACACATAATATATTAAAATAAATATTTCCAAATGTGACACGTGAATGTAATTTCTTATATATGGACGGCAAAATCTATTTTTAGATGCTTTTAAAAAAATATATATTTCTATTTTAAATTATGTTTTTAAAGATATACATAAAAGTCCAAATATGTATTGATAGAAAATATATTTACCTAAATATATATTTGAGCAAATGTGTTTTTTGGCCTTTTTTTTGTATGTTTTTGAGGGTTAAATATATGTATAAAATTGATTTTATATAAAAATATTTTATGTTTACAGTTGTATATATATTTTATATTTATAATTATATATAAATGATATATTTAAATGTTTTTTAATTACTATTCTTGCATTAAAAATAAGGCGTGTAGGTCTTTTTTTGTTTGTTTTTGTGAAAAGAGCGACTCCCACACAGGAGGAAAGGCCTGCAGGAATCTCCACTGATCTCAAACTCTGCTAAGATTAGTCAAAGATCTCAATCTCATCGCTGGTGGTGAAGACCTGGTGGTTTAATGAGATGTTCTTGTCGCTGCCACAGGCACCATGTGGAGTACGTGATCCCGTACGAGGGCTCGGTCTCGGCGAGCTCCGTGGGTTCCTCCGCCGGGAGCAGTGTGAGCAAGCAGGAGCTGGACCTGGTGCTGGGTCTCCTGATGGGCTTCTGCATCAGCTGGATCCTGCTGTGGCTGGATGGAGCTCTTCACTGCGCACTGCGCTTATGGAGGTCCAGCAGACACTACGGTGAGAGGAAGCACCATCGTGAGGAACCGTCTCAGATGCTTTAGGCTTAGCCCTCAGAACGCATTCGGGCCTGTTTTCAACCAGGAGAGATATGTTCAAAATTCTAAAAAAAATAAAAAAGCATAGTTTTTAGTAAGGGAATGAAGACCTGGTGGTTTAATGAGATGTTCTTGTCGCTGCCACAGGCACCATGTGGAGTACGTGATCCCGTACGAGGGCTCGGTCTCGGCGAGCTCCGTGGGTTCCTCCGCCGGGAGCAGTGTGAGCAAGCAGGAGCTGGACCTGGTGCTGGGTCTCCTGATGGGCTTCTGCATCAGCTGGATCCTGCTGTGGCTGGATGGAGCTCTTCACTGCGCACTGCGCTTATGGAGGTCCAGCAGACACTACGGTGAGAGGAAGCACCATCGTGAGGAACCGTCTCAGATGCTTTAGGCTTAGCCCTCAGAACGCATTCGGGCCTGTTTTCAACCAGGAGAGATATGTTCAAAATTCTAAAAAAAATAAAAAAGCATAGTTTTTAGTAAGGGAATGAACCTGTGCAGATGCTTTAAGACCCTCAAAACACACATCATTTATCATTCCCCCCCCCCCAGATTCTTAAGTATTCTTTTTTAAGGGAAATAACCAATTAAAATGACTCGGGTATGTATGGAGCACCATTGGTGTCAAAAATACTTTTGTTAAATGATCTAGTATGAAGTTATATTAGTGTCAAAAATGTGTAAAAATATGCAGCCTTTTCCTCATATCTCACACACTTTTGGACTGAATTTTGTTGATGAACATAAATTTGTGCGTCTATCGACATGAAAAATGGATCACTTTTTTTTTTACTAAAAGTGAAAGTTTATGCAAGTAATATGAGTTTATTTAGTTAGAACATTTTTCAGAGTAATATTTATGTTGTTTTGATAGAAATAATATGTAGGTTTTATAAATTCGTGCTTAGAGACTTATAAATTCAAAGAACTTGAATTAAATGTATTCATTCTCATGAGGTTAATACTGGTAATTCTCACATTATATGATCTTATAAATTCCATACAATGATATATTCATATCAAATTTCTCATCAATATAAAAA